GTTTTGTTTTTTTGTTTTTCCATCGCTCATCGCCGCGTGTGTGTGTGTGTATTAACTAAATGTGTCGCATAATATTAAGTGTGTGTGTGTGTTAAAATCACAATTTTATAGACTTGATGTGTGTGTGTGTGTGTAGGTGTAGTGTGTGTGTGTGTAGGTGTGTGTTAGCGCTTCATGTGATTATATTGTTGTTTGGTTCAACTGCTTTAGTACTCTCTCTCTCTCTCTATCTCTCTCGCTCTCCCACTCTCTCGCTCTCTCTCTCTCTCTCTCTGTCTCGCTCTCAGTTGTCGTTCGTGCATCCAGGCAAAATATTCTTGAAAAATATTTGAATGGAATTTGGTTGTCTTTGTTGTTGTTTAAAGCATAGTTCTGGGCGCAGGGAAAGGCACAATTCAATATTAATTAAAAATTGCTGCTGCAAGCTCTAAACAAAAAATTGAAAACAATCTAGGTGAAAGCTGCAAGAGAGAAAGAGAGAGAGAGATATAGCAAGGAGCGAGCGGAAATTAGTTTAAGTTTTTAAACTGCACGAATTTAATAAGCAAAACAATCAGAGGGCCGGCACGATTTGCATTGCCACGCCTCCCCTCCCACCCAAAACCCGCTAGCGACTAGAGGCTTGCTCACCTGCGGGAACACACACAGCGCTCTAAATGTTGCTTGTTGTTGTTTGTTTTGTTGTTGTTGTTGTTGTTGTTTGTTGTCTGTGGGTTTGTCGTTGATGGCAGCGAAACGATTTGGCAACGAATCTTCTTCCAACTTCACTTCACTTCACTTTACTTCAGTTTGCTTCTCCCTCATCATAACTTCCTATAGATAGAGCGTCGCCTGTTGACGCTGATCGAAATGATGCACATAGAGCTTCTTCTTGGACTTCTCCTTGCTCGGCCGCAGATCCCACACCAAATTGGAGAGGCTGCGCGGCCGTGACAAGCGTCGCGTCTTCTTCTCCGGCAGCTGCTTCTGTGAATCGCCCGACGTTCGTCCCCCGCTGCGCGATGAGTCGAGTGTGCCCTCGCGCGGATTATGATGATTGTTGCTGCTCGAGCTGCGGCTGTGACTGTGACTGTGACTCTGACTGTGACTGTGTAGGTAGCCATGGGTATTCAGTATGCTGCTGCACTTGAGCACCACATCGGGCGGCGTCTGTGAGCAGGCGTCAACTGTTCCTCCTGCCGCTGCCTTGGCTGAGATCGGCGGCGTCATGGCCGCTGTATTGCTATCGGGCGTCAACTGCAGGCTGCTCAGGCTCTTGTATCTGGGTGGACCCGAAAATAGAGGGGAAATGGGAGTGTGATGTTAGGACATTTACGTTTGTTGTTGCTATATTAATATACCCTATAATAATATAAACTGCAATGGGGATCTCAATTGATTTGTATATTTATTTATTTTTATTTATATTTGTTTTT